GAGCCCTCCCGGTAACCGGAGCCCAGGCGATGCTGCCAAGGGCTTAACAAGAGTTTGCTGCAGAAATGTCCTCCCGCAGCCGGGAAGGAGCTGGGTGGAGCAGAGCAAGCAAGAGCTGGGAGAGGAGAGACTCCTCCGTTGTCTTCCCGATTAAACAAAACTGCTTTTGTGTAGCGGTGGTGGTAAATCCAGGGAAGAGCTGCTGGTCTCCTGCAGCGCCGGGGCGGTGTAATCCAGGGGTGTTGGAAAGTCAGGATGGGGACTCTCGATCCCAGCCGGCTCAGGAAGGGTGGGTCCAGGTTTGCGATACATAGCATGCCATTCTGCAGCAGCTGGGGCTTTCCTTCAGGTCCCGTACCTACCTTTATCCTATTTCTTTCCATCTGTTTTGCAACCAGCCAGCTTCAGGGAATCCGGCTCTCATCCACCACCCAAGGGGGTGACGGCATGAGAGCTTTGGGGACACAGATGGACCCCTGGTGATTTCTGCCTCAGGGCTCAGCTGCCCGGCCACACGCAGCACTGCCGCGGGGCTTTAACTCCCATTTAATTCTCAGCCCTCTCTGAGCAGGTCTCCAGCTTGTCCAGAGGGTCACGGCAACGTGATCATGATGCCCCGGGGGATGGTGGATGGGGACGGGTGGCTGGACCTCGTGGATGTCCCTGTCGCTGCCCCTGCGGGTGCCCCAGGAGTTTGCAAGCCCTCGGCAGATGCTTGAGGCCAGCTCGCAGCACAGACCTCCTCGGGCATCCAGGGCACCGCGGGCTTGAGACTCCGGCTACACCCTCTTCCACCCACGGGTGACACCTTCCAAGCAAACGAAATCCCTCCACGCTAATTACAGCAGCCAAGGGCTGATCAACGCTCGTGGTGGTTCCATGGCCTCTTTTCCTACCCCTGGCTTGGACCAGCCCTGTCCTGCTTCATGCTCAGCCTACGAGCAATGACGTGAAGGTCAATTCCCAACCGCTCCGGCGGTGGACGTCGCCGCCGTGAGAAGCAGCGTGAGCCCGGAGGGGACGGTCGAGCAGATGAACCCACCTCCCTTTTGCCTTGCTAGGACGTGGCCTGGGAGACCATTAAATCAGCTACAAAACAGGGCTGTCAAAGACCTAGAAGCCCCAAGAGAAAGACCTAAAAGCCCCCAAATGAGAGTAAGGCAACTATGACTTAGCACCCAGGAGCAGGGGCTAGGAGCGAGATGCCACCCATAGCTGGGATGAACAACGGCAGCCGGGGAGCTCCAGCTGTGGTCGGGTGCTGCTGCCCTCCCAGCACCCCGGCTGGACCCAGGCAACTGGGAAGCGATGCCGCGATGCCAGCGAGAACTGGGGATTAAATAGGTGAGACCAAGGGAGCCAAGAGTCTGGCTGGCCGAAGGAGAGGACAGGGAGGGACACAGCAACGCCGTGGGCTGGATAACAGGAGAGAGGGAATTCAGATCACCTCAGCACCAAAAATGTGGAGATGGGAGGCTTTTTCTGGGTTGTATTGATTTTTAACACCTAGTCCGCTCCAGTGCCAACAAAGCAGTGGATAAAAAGGACATTGTTAAATGTTCGATATTCATCTCCCTTTAAGTCAAAATCAAAGCTCTGAAATATTCATTTGAGAGCATCCTTCAGCAAAGTCAAGAGAGACGTGAAAAAATATGCCTGGTATGTCTACATTAATGAGGAAGGAGAGGACACCAGTATTTTTTGAGAAGAGATAGAGCCCTCCACACGATCCAGCTTTACAAAGCCAAAAGAAAAGGCAAAACTAGCTCAGGTAAACACCATCCTTTCCGGGGCACAGTGCTAAATAAAACCACCAAATGCGAGGACAAATCGCCCTTCGTTAGCCGTGCCCATTAATGAAGAGAACTGGGAGAGCCCAGCGGTGCAGGGGACAGCGGCGGAGCGACCGGGGTCCCCCCAGGGTCCCCACACCCCACACAGGCACTGCCACCAGAAGCTCCGGGGGGGACGGGAAGCTCCAGCTGAGGGGGTGGGAACTGTAAAACCTGATTTAATCCGATTAGGGTGTCTGACTACACCTTAATTGCCTGCTTTCTGGCTGGCTTTGTCTTGGCGGGGCTTTGTTGAGGCAGGAAGGTGTTACCAACCGCCTGGCTGCAATTACACTGCTAAAATCACACCAGGATAATTACGCTGCCGTAGCGCTCGTGCGGACCCTCGTTCGAGAGCAGAAATGGCTTTTTCCAGTTCGATTTAAATGCTTCCCGACCTGGCCGGACAGTGCCTGCCAGGAGTGACTCAGGAGTGATGTCCTCAGGGGATGGGTGCTCATCCCACCCATCGCCTCGGCAGGACGGGTGCCACAGCTCCCATCCCTTGGCCCTCAGCATCCTCGCAGCATCGCTGCCTGCTCTG